AAAAACATGCACTGGTACATTCCAGGAGTCAGTAAATATGTCTAACATTGCAGTTTGTAATGCTTGACTTTAAAAGAGGGGATACAAGAATTTATGGGGAATGTATAGTGGATTTTACATTAAAACATTAATAAAAATGTAAGCCAACTAAATACAAAATATTGCATATAAATATTATGTAGTTTTCGATCTTGGTAGCAGGTGGAAGCTTTAGGTCTTGTTCACACCTAGGCGTATTGCATATGCGCGTCTGTCACCGTGATTCGCGGTAAAAAGTCGTGCGACCCCGAAGGCTACTTGGCTGTAGCCCAATGGAAACGCGCAACAAAACGGCCCAAAGTAGTACATGTACCTTTTCAGGCGTGGGCCGTTTTGTAGCGCGTTAGGGACATGGGCCGTTTTGTTGTGCGTTTCCATTGGGCTACAGCCAAGTAGCCTTTGGAAACGCGCGACGGTTGTGCGACTTTTTTACCGTGCGACAGGCGCGCATATGCAATACGCCTAGGTGGGAACGAGACCATTGAATACAATGGGATTTATATTTTTGAGCGTTTTGTAGAGCGTTCGTCGAGCGTAGAACGTGCTACAAAACGTTCAGGTGTGAACGAGGGCTTAGGCTCCTTCTCACAGGCTGCTCAGTTATCTTTTATCCACACTGCTGTGAAAGGCCTGTTGTCTAAAGAGCTTCAGCTGAATGAGTCTCTTTAAAGCTTACTTCCACCTGGAATGCCATGTTTCATGTTACATCGAATTATAATGTGAAACAGGGTACCATTCCCCAACCTTCTAACCTCAAACTGCCCCATAGTTACCCGAATCACGGTGTGCTTCCACGCAGGCTCCTCTGGTTTTTTTGTTTTTTATTTGCCATTGCTGTGCGCAGCCATGCCCACACAGCCACGTCAGTAATGCATCAATTCACAGGATCTGTGAATGAAAAAACTGCGAGTCCAGTAAGCAGAAGGACTGTACTTCTCAAAGTACAAGTGCGGATATCGTCCTCCACCTCCATAACCAACTTACCATACCTCGGTATGGACCTAGGGCTGGAGGAACAGTCTGCTGGAGATTGGGCATTGCACCACTCCTTTAATCGGGGTTGCAATGCTCTGCAGGCTTCATTGCAAAAATAAATCAATTCACATTTTTTTATTTTTGCAAAATTGGTGCATTTTTATTTATTTTTTTAAGTGGAATATGCCTTTGAATAACCCATACTGCTCTAAAAACTTTGTCACGCATTAAATATTTATCTGTAGAATGTAAGGGTCAGTGTGTGTATGTATACACAGTGCGTAGTAGCATGAGTGTCTGTATGCGTGCATACATGCAGTTTTTTTCTTCAGCTCAGTGTGCTCTGTCTGTGCACTGAGCTGCACATGTGTGGCTCAGGGTACAGAAAAAGAAAATAGCTTACAAAGTCTCTTCTGTCTTGGAAAACCTGGCTATGTGCAGTTTTTGTTGTTGTTACAACTTTACTTCCACTTTAAGGCCCATCTCTTATTACTTATTTATTGTCTAGGTAAGAATGACAGTCTTTATCTGTGTGAGATCTCAAGCCAGGCCTTTCACATTACATGTTCCAATAGTGTCAGGAGATTTATATATTAACAGTATTTATATAGTGCTGTAAGTTTTTGCAGCACTTTACATAGTAGCACATTTACATCAGTTCCTGCCCTCCAGGAGCTTACAATTTAAAGTCCCTATCTCACATACATATGGGGCTAATTTCAACAGGAGCCAATTAACCTTTCAACATGTCTTTGGAGTGTTGGAGGAAACCCACACAAGCACAGGGAGAACATGCAAACTCCATGCAGATAGTGTCCTGACCTGGAGTTTAACTGGGGACCCTCAGTGCTGCACGGCAGAAGAGCTAACCACTATTCCACTGTGCTATCCATGAGATCCCCTAAGAGTTTGACACCTACAGCCCTGCAGCCTTCTGGGATGAGTGAGGTGTGTCCTGGGAGGCTGGGAGATCTCCCAATGCTATGGCAACACATTATGAAAGACATGGTGTCAGATCTCCATCTGTGCTTGCGCAAGATCTGGCGCTGTCATCTTGTGGGGCTGATGCAAGAATCTGTGAGAGAAAGCCGGCTCCCAAAGTAAGACAGGGAGATGGTGGCATAGGACCAGGCATGTAACAACAAGGTTGGATTTGCAGAGTATATGTTTATTGAGGATTAAACCGTTAAAAAGGTGGGTTAAAATAATAATACATGAGCTGGAAGTTAAAAATGTCTTCTCTAGAACAGGCAATACACGTTCTTAACTTTTCTAATAAAAAAAACAACCTCCTGCTGAAAAGTATTGGTGAACCTCACACATTTGTCATCTGGCAGGTCAGACTAGGTATTCTGTAAAAGCCTTGTCCAATGTCTTGAGTTTCGAAAGAATTCAGAATATTTTGCCATAGACCCCTAGTCAAGAGTTAGCTGAGTAAAAACTTGCTTTACAGGATTTCTATCATAAGCCGGGCTTTATTGCTTTTTCCAGTCAGACTTCTTAGGACACAGAGCCTATATAAATACAGCAAATGAGTTGTTTAAGATTTACCTGCAACTATGTATTGTGGGGGTCAACCTAAAATATATATAAAACCAAAACTTTCTTTTTAAATACAATAGGCAGAGGCTAAAACCCATCAGTTTTTTTTTTGTTGTTTTTTTTTTTTCATTTATGTCTCATTGAGGAGATTTCTCTTCACTTCCTGTTCCATAGACCCATCAGGAAGGAACAGGACATTTTTCGAAAGTCATGAAAATCCCCTGTAAGACAGCTGTAAAAATGAAGTTTGGTGGCTTAAGATACAATTTAAGAAGAATGTACAATTAGATGTAACCTGTGTGGCAGCTTTACTAAAGCCTTAGATCAGGTTTAATTTGGGTATTTTCATGGATCCTTTTTCCTCTATCTTGTATGTTGAAGGTATGGAGGACTTAAATTAATCTGAACTAAAGATACCCACACACATTAGTTGACTGCTGCCTGATGTTTCTAGTACCGAGTAACATAATTATGCCTATGGGCACCTCCTGTAGATGCTGCCTCCAGATTAGGGTAGCAGCAGGCGCATCTGCAGACTAGGAAGACATCAGCATTTTATACTAAGAGTATATGATAACAGAGCACTAACCCAAGGGCATAACTATAAATCATGGGGCCCTAAGGCAAAACCTTGGGGCCCCCAGCTAACTCTCTCTGGCAGTGTCAACTGTGACAATATGTTTTATTGAAGTATGTATCCAGGATAGGCAGCAGGAGAGCTCTCAGTATAGTCAGTACACTACTAGGGAGCAGTGTTGGGGATAAAAGCTACAGTAGAACTAATAATAATAATACCCAGAATGTTAGTTTATATTATGATAAAATAAATATTGCTTTTGCACACACTTGCTCACCAACCCTAATACAAACTTCTTTAAACTCTAGCTTCGTTAAACCTTTTTGTAGAACCAAAAATATCAGCCCTCCTATAAGGCATACAGGGTTAATTTTAGTCTGTAGCAGAAGTTAAGAGGTCAATAAATCTACACTGATAGATAAACAAATGCTTCTTACTGCACAGAGGGGTATCTGTAACTTTACAATCATGAGATCTGACTTCAGCCCTTCTATACTGGAAACCTCACAGTTTAGTTAGTTTTCCTAATTAACCCCCCCTAATGGGGGCACCTCCTACCCCAGGCCCTATAGCAGCCACGTGGGCTGATATGGCTATTGTTACATCACTGCACCAACACCAACATTATGTTGAAACATGCTTAAAGGAGAACTATGAGGAGTGAGAAATCACTCTTCCTCATCGTTCGAGCCGACCTGTGACAATGAAACTGTCACACGTCGGCTCAATAGATCGGGAAGGGAGCGAACACATACCATCACTCGCTCACTTCTCGATCATCTCCCTGCAGAGAGCAGTGACTGTCAGTCCCCTGCAGGGATTTCCCCCTCCCCGATCCTCCAGCGCTGACTGGAGGAACGGACAGGGGAGGTGGCAGGTACAGCTGGCTCTGCCTCTAGATAGGCATTCATTCACGCAGCTGGGTGGATCTCGACAGTAATGTCGGGATACGTCCCGGCTGCAGCGGTCTCAGTATACTGCGAGGTGTAGCTTGCGATATACTGAACTTTGGGTCATGGGAGGACGCTAGTATATTTCCTCCCGTGACCCTTAAGGGAACTATGGGGAAAAACATTTACCCCATAGTTCTCTTTTAACCTAATAAAATCATTAGGCATTCACACACTGGCATGCTACTATATAGGCATGTGTCGGTAAAAGGACATGTACCTTAAATAAATGGAAACATTTATGGTTATGATGGTTTCAGATCTTATCAATGTGGATGTTTATTTACTTCCATAATATATCAACATTCTACTCTCTTAGATGACCCTATGCCTATGACATCACTAGTAACTAAACACTGTGTACTTGTACAATTACAGCTACATTCATGTTATGCAGACAAACTGGTTAGTTAAGCTGATTTTGTCCTTAAACCAACATGATATATTACTGTAGTGTTTTGAAGATGTGTTTTTTTGATATTTTTTTTGCAATATTTTTTGCTTTTAGATAATCTCTGTAGCTCAAAGTAACCCTGTGCAGAACAAAGCAACAGGTGTGATAAGTGTCCTCTGCTGCAAAACATACCTATTTTTCCTTGGCTCTCATGATCCTCAATTTAGCAGTCAGGGGTGAGAAAAATAATTTACTCAGGGCTGAGAGTTTCTTGTTGCTACCATGTGACAATACTTGGCTAATCAGCAAGCACCTGCACTGTTGCTGTCCTTCTCTCCCACATTGAATTCACCATTGAGGGAGTGAAGGATACATGAGATTGGTCTATCAGGGGGCAGAAAAGGGGCTTATACCAAACCTGTTTCTTTGAACTGCATGGGAAATATGATATTTTTAAAATTGTATGCTTTCTAATTTAAAAAAAATCTTCATTTCATTTTCAGGAACCTATGTAGAGAGTTTTGGATGCCATGGCGTCGATATTGCTTGGAATGTGTCTGATCTTCAGCCAGCCCAAGCTGGTGACTTCTTACCCAACTTCAAATGAAAAGACCTACGCATCACCACCTCCTGTAAATGAACCGAGGAATGCCATTCACCCTAATAGTACCCAACAGCATCTACCGCATACCATTATCATTGGGGTACGTAAAGGTGGAACAAGGGCTTTGCTAGAAATGCTTAGCCTTCATCCTGACATTTCTTCAGCTGAAAGTGAAATCCATTTTTTTGACTGGGAAGATCAGTATAGAAAAGGTTTACCGTGGTATGTTAGCCAAATGCCATTTTCGTACCCCCATCAGCTCACAGTTGAGAAAACCCCTGCATACTTTACGTCGCTTAACGTTCCAGAACGCATTTACAACATGAACAGCACAATAAAACTTCTCCTTATACTAAGAGACCCTATCGAAAGAGTTTTATCAGACTATACTCAAGTCTATTACAACCACCTGCAGAAAAATAAGTCTTATCCACCAGTGGAAGATCTACTTTTGAGAAACAGTGAGCTTAACACAGACTACAAAGCAATAAACCGGAGTCTGTATTACAGTTTCATGGAAAACTGGTTATTGTATTTCCCACTTCGCAATATTCACATCGTTGATGGAGATTATCTAATCCGAAATCCCTTTCCGGAAATACAAAAGGTAGAGAAGTTTCTAAATCTTTCACCGCAAATAAATGCATCAAACTTTTACTTCAATAGGACAAAGGGGTTTTACTGTTTACGTGACAGTGGTCGGGAACGTTGCTTACATGAATCCAAAGGGAGGGCTCACCCACGTATAAACTCTTTCCTGCTGGACAAATTACGGGAATACTTCTGTGAGCCCAATAAAAAATTCTTTCAACTCGTTGGAAGGACATTTGACTGGTTATAAAATAAACCAATTGAGAAAAACTGTGTATTTACGAAGGATATTTAAACTATAACTTATTTGTAAATTGAATATTAATGCCAGAACTAGAAAAGAGAGAAGAAAAGCTAGTTTTATTTTTATACTTATGTGTGACTATATAATTTGTATGAATTTTCATGGCTAATAAATTATATTCATTTTGCAATATAGTAGACTTTTGTTTTGTTTAATATAATGTATACGTAAATATGAGTCTGTGACCACTAAATATTAAATTACTCTGATGAAATCATTATAGTTTGTTTCCCTTAACTGAAAAAAATATCAGTTGGTGATATTATGGACCTTGCTTTTTTTTGGGGGGGGGGCACCCCCAGCTTTCATTTTGGACACATCACCTTGTTGGATATTTTGGTCTAATAATGTTTAGTTTTCCCACAAAATAAGCCAATGCTAGTGGTGTATGTCTACAATGCTCTGCTCACCTTCACTGATGTTGTGTTTTCTATGTGCAGTTTTACAGATGTATTTATGAAGCCAAAGAGCCAATTACAGTGACCCATGGCGGCTAATTAAAGATTTATTTATTATTTTTTAATCTTGCTACAGAAATTACATTTAGATTGTTATGGGATAATGCACATTATTATAAGTATTGTTGAAAACCTATGAACCATTGTACCTGGCTGTGAAAAAGTGACAAAACTGTGGAACAGCTTTTAGTCATTCTTATATTATCATTCCCCTTGAGTACCACCTAGCTGTTAAATATATGCATAGGTCCTTCAAAATTTCCAGTGGGTTTACTGAAGTTATTCTGATCCGTTTGTAGCTGATCATTGACTCTGATTTATGGAGTAGCAAACATCGAATATTTTTCTACTTCTAGCACAGATTGATATACTATTGCATTTTATAAAATGGTTTTTGGATTGCTGGATCACACAGAATCCGATCTTGAAGAAGCAACCATGCCACAGTAAGTATTGCGTTGTAAATCTAATAAGATGGTATCGGCTGCCAGAAAAATGGTGTACTGGGATGTGAGCATTTTCAGGTGACTTATAGACATGTTTCAGGTGACTACATTAGCGTGTAGTAGGTTTCCCATTTCTGGTAAATCAAAAACCACCATCAATGTGTCAAGTCAGATTAACCTTTTCTCTATTATATCACAACACCATTCCAAAAAAGGTTCCATCCCTGTGATTATAGAAACAAAATCAACCATCCAAGTTACAGATATGGGTTTTCAGGATGAAAACAACCTTCCCTTTGCCTTTCCTGAGGTTTTTGATTAACTATATTGTCCTAATTCATTTTGTTTTTTAAGAATTTACAAAAAAAACATTTTAAGATAAAAGTTAAGGTGAAATTAGGGGAAAAATGCCTTTTTTAAAAGTGTTTTGGTGCAAAATCTCTGGTATTTTTAGGAAACACCTGAGACAAAACATTTACATGGCTATTCACGAAAGAGTGAAGAGTTGGAGAAGACAGAAGAAGTGAACAATCTCGGACAACATAACTGAACTGCAAAATGAGCTGAATTGGAGAATTTTTCCTAGATTGTTCACTTCTCCTGCCTACTCCAAACTCTTCACCCTTTTGTAAATAACCATGTCAAAATTCTCATACTTAAAATGCTTTCAGGCAGAACATAAATTTAGCAAGTATTCTTCCCCTAAGTATTCCATTTTCCTTTTAATTTCTTCAATATTTTAGAGAACGTGTTTATTTAAACGGTCTGTTCCTATGGAATAGCATTGCGTGTACAAAGGAAGTCCCGTAAGATAAACACAGCATTCCTTTAGAATCATTTGGTTACAGCTGTACAGATATTTCTCGCCTTAGATATTCTGAAAACTTTAAAACCGGATTTGAAGTTTGAGTAGACTGTGCTTATCATATAAAAATAAATCGTTTCGCGTAAAAATAGCTGACCCATGAAATAATCCACAGTGGGCAATTGAAAGTGAAAACACAATCTGCAGATAAGGCACAGCACACCTGGCTTAATAGAAAGGCAAGGACTATAAGTGAAGCCGTTTGCAGATACATTGCTTCTGGTCTAGTCAGAAGATTGACTATTCATTTTTTTAACTTTGTACCAAAGAATCAAATGCATAAGTGCTATAACGGATAAATTCTGTCATGTCTAGCCCACTCTGTAAAATTCTGGTCATATTCTATTGACCTTTTGTTTAGGTAAAGTTTAGGGGTGAGATTCAGGTTTGGCGCTCTCATGGGTCCTCTGCAAATTCTGTATGGTCGATGTCCGGATAGCAACCTACGGCAGGATTTCCTCAGACCAAATTATTTGTTACCATAATGCACTGCATTGCCTTTGACTTTAGGTCAGCTGGATTACAAGGGCCAATAATGGGGGCTTTGCTAGATGCCAGCTCCCTCACTATAAATGGATGGGGTCAGTGTGTGTTAGAGTATTTTAGGAAGAGATGACAGTCGTGTAGTGAGTTAGTTTCTGTGCTATATTGTGCTAAATTATTATGGATTGCAGTGTTGTGGGCTTCATATTCTTGTGTACCTCCCTTTTGTTTACAGTTCAGAGACCCAACAGTTTTTTTTTATTATCCATTGCTCCATTGTGGCTATTCTCTCAGATAATACACTTTAGTATTTATTTCAAGAAATAACCTGCCTCATTTCTCCCTCTTGTTTTGCGAACTTACTAAGCTGCTCACAATCTGTCCAGCAACTGTACAATATTTGTGGCGATTGACTCTTAATACAGTCTAATTTCTATTTTGAGATAAAACCTGCCCTGTCTCTCCCTCTTCTATTGCGGTTTAACCAGCTGCTTAGAAATGGTCCACATAACAGGTCCCCTTGTACATCGGGTACCTCCCCTTCGCATCAGAGGTACTGTAGTAAAATTGTATTCCCTTCCCACCAACTGACCTATGGTTGCAGTTTGAAAGAATTACTCTAATCTCTCACTATGACAAAAGTTTGATCCGTCACTGAATGCTGGAGCAAGCCTTGCACAGGTAGTACAGTTTCATTGGTTGCTAGGACACTGGCAGGGGATTCTTGCCCTGCTGGAGAATGCATGCAGGGGAGGAGATGCGCTGACCCATATTTTCAATCTGTGCACAGTGTGCACTGTACACATTGATCATACACCATTGCACATGCAAACAATTAACTTACCAGCATATCTTTAAAATGTGGGAGGAAACTCATGCAAGCACAAAGAGCATGCAAATTAATTGTAGGCATTGTCCTGGCCAATTTTCAAGACCCCGCAGTACTGCAAGTCTGTTCTATAATCTCGTGAATTAGTCAGAACATGACCCATTACTTAACAGAGTGGTAAGTACAAATTTCAATCAGATATACAAAGGCCTAAAGCTGAACTCTGGGCAGAATTTATTTTGTAATTAATACAAGGGTCATTTCCAGAATTTTCCATGTTTTTCCATACAGGTGCCCCCTTACCTAAATAAGTATTTCTACTTGGTAAGACTAGTGGCCTGCTACCTGCTATTGCCTCTGCCACAAGTCTTGTAACATCCCCTGTGTAGCTCCTTTTACACTTTTAATACCTTTTTATTACTAAAAAATATTTTGCACCTACAAAGTGGTAGGCATCTTTCAAATATGTGAAGCGCTGCTATCCCCCCTAAGAAGCAAACGGATAATGTGTACAAAAAAACAAATATGGCAGTAAACCTGTAAATAAATATTCAATTTTCTAATCCACTCCTTGTGTGAATCAGAGATGGTTAACTATAGAAAAAACAAATCTAAGTGTTAGGTAAAGTAGCAAAAAAAAAAGTGGTAGGTATGTTGTGTACATTACATGGTAAAAAACCACAAAACATTTTAATTCCAGGTTGTGGGTGTAATAAAACCCCAAGGGGGTGACTACTTTCACAAAGCATTAGGCCATACAATCTACAAGGGGATTGCAGAGAGCAGAGACCTGTAGAATGAAATGGTGCTAGTTGCAATTTTCTTTGTCCCATAATAGCGTTACTCTTTATTAAGCCCAAAATTTCAGTAAAAAATACACTTAAGTTAAATTTAGTGGACAAAAAAAACAATATAGTATACAATATTAAAATATAAAAGATGAGGTTGTGCCGAGTACACAGGTACCCAACATGGCAAGCTTAAAAATTGCGTGCACCTGTGAAACGGAGAAAAAATACGGTACTCTAATTTGTCCATATTAAATGCTTTAAAAGCCTGCACAGGTCATCAGTTTAGGGTTAACCGTGAATATTGGCCCTAGAATTATTGCTGTCACTCTGCTGCAAGCAGCGATACCTAATGTATGGCGCAACCGTCATTTTCATATGTAGGCACACCTGATGCTCGTTTTTGTTTAGTATGTATGCATTTACAGGGGCTGAATCTGCTGGAAATCCGTTTACAGGAGCCTGCAGCCAGTGCCTAATATCGTGCTGGCAGCAAAAGGGTAGTGGGATAGACTTTCCTAAAGAGGAGAGTTTTCAGGGATCATAGCAAAAACTGTGTATCAAAATTCATAAGTATCCCAAAGCTTAGCTTTACAGCAGGCACTGTGCTGTCTCTTTGGGGATCCTTTCTCATCTATAAACTGTTTATTTGTAAATAAAAGATTGTATACGTATAGGGAAAAAACTGCTATAAAACAAACTAAAGTAAAATTGACCCAAGACCATTGTTTGTTTCCCTTTTGATTGTAATGTTTATGCCCTGGTGTGTGTATATGTATAAAAATGATGGTAAATGTATGTTATAAAACATAATTTGGTATATTGACAAAATACCTAAATAGGACCCAACATCTATATGAAGAAGGTTTCAGTGTTGGAGTAAAGCATATTGTTCATAATTGATATTTTGTTTGGAATTCACAGAAGCCAGTCATTTTCACATAAAGGAATTTGCTGCATTTTGGAGCATTTCTATCAAAACTACTTGTTCAAAAACAACAAAAAGCAGAAACAGGTACACCTTTTTGTCTGTTTCACTTGGAGTTTTAACATTACCACTTCTTTCTCAACGTTCTAAACATCCTCCTGCTTAGCCCAAGCTGCTAGTGTTGGGTTGATTTTCAAGTGGTATTTTTCCTTTTTAAGTCCAGAGTGAAAGCTTCTGAGCAAAGAGAGTGGGATGGAGAAGAAGTACTTTGCTCAAAAATTTGGCAACTGCTAGTGACAGGGAAGCAGATGTAATAAAGATGACCACACAT